AAGGCACTCTATCATATGCTTTTTCAAGGTTGATAAACACCATATGAATGTCTCTTTTCTTTTCTCTATACTTTTCTATTATTCTCCTCAAAAGATAGATCGCTTCCATTGTTGACCTGCCAGGCATAAACCCAAATTGATTCTCTGACACCTTTGTTATATCTCGCAATCGGCGTTCCATCACCCTCTCCCACACTTTCATTTTATGACACATTAGTTTGATTCCTCTATAGTTGTTGCAATTCTGGACATCTCCTTTATTCTTATAGATTGGTGTCAAAATACTCTTCCTCCATTCATCTGGCATGTTCCTAGTCAATAAAATTTTGCTAAACAACCTAGTCAACCAAGCAACCCTGTTTTTACCCAAACACTTCCAAGCTTCAATAGGGATATCATCGAGTCCTAAAGCCTTATCTAATTTCATCTTCTTAAGTGCAATCTCCACTTTAAAGTTTCTAATCCTGTGATAGAACATATAGTCTTGGTTTATTGTATTACTGGCTAGTTCTTCCCTTATTGACGTACCTCCACGTTCCTCATTTAATAGTTTTTTAAAATAGTTCTTCCATCTCTTCTTAATCTTTTCATCCTTCACCAATACCTTAGATTCCTCACTCTTGATGCACTTAACTTGATTAAAATCTCTTGTTTTCCTCTTCCGTATCTTAGCAAGTTTGTATATCGTCTTCTCTCCCTCTTTACTATCTAGTCTAGTGTATAGGTCATCATAAGCTTTTAACTTAGCCTCTCTCACTTTTTTCTTGACCTCCTTATTAGCCAATTTATAGCTCTTAAAGTTTTCCTCAGTTTTATCATTCAGCCACTTTTTGAACCTCTTCCTTCCACTATCAAGTTTCCCTAGAGTTGGTGGATTTCTGACTAGCGCATATAATAATATTATAAAAAACGCAATTATTTGTTATTTTGTGTGGGAATGTCGCACAAAATCGTTTGTAAGGGCGCATTTGAATTGTAGATTGAAATATTGTTATTAATAAAATAATTGATTACAATTTATTTTACATTGGCCTCTGTTGTACATTATTTTTCTGGGCTGATGCGGATCCTTCCACTGCGGCCTTTACAGCCTCAGAAATTAATTTAGATACCTCATCCGTATTCAGTCGTGATGATTCGGAGTTATTGGATCCGGCCTTACTTACTGATGGGCCTATGTCAACTGGGCCGCTAGGCTGATTAATTGGCCCAGTGTTGATTATTGATTGGCCGCTGGTCGGCATAATTATGTCGCACTGACTGAATGATTCGGGCCCATCCCGAATAGAACTTGATGACAATCGTGCTGCCATTATCCTTTGGGCCGAAGAATCGTATTGGCCCATTGGTGCTGACAATGTCATTGTGGATCGAAAATGTGATTCGGAATTACAGCGTGTTAGTCTTGCCTTCGCTACTTTCCGCTCCACGTGCCAAATATCCATGTGGCTGTTGTTGAATACTTTGGACAAAACAGTTATTAATGGCGGCCGATAAGTAATTTCATCTAGAAAAGATGATGTTTGAAAAGCCAATGTGGCTTTCATTTTGTAATATTTCACACCGTCGTTGATGTTTGTTTGTAGCAATCTGTACGACGCTGTCCATGGGCATCCGTTCTTATCTGTGGCAGCATACGCGTTTCCATAATATGTGATGTCTACTGGGCATGTAACTGGAAAAGTAAAGCGAGCCTGCAATTGATCATCCGCTCGTAACCGTGTGTCCCGTATTTCGACTTCGACGCGACCAGTAGAATTAAATGGACATTGTGGCCTGTAGCTTAGCTTGCATTTGTCAATTATCATTGACTTGAATGTCTGCTTTTAACAAAGAAAGACAGGTTGGTTTTTTTCCGTCTACTAGACTATGCTCACCCAATGTGAACTTCTGCCACATTGCATCTCCTATCTTTGGATTTGCTATTGATATATTGGAAACCGGCAGGTTTGATGTCGCGTCTATGATTTCGGTTTCCAAAGCCCCCTCTTCGTTCTGGTGAAGGTTATCTATAAGATCGGCTTGTTGTATTTTTTCTGACATTGTGCTAGCGCAGCGGTCTGTTTGAATTGTCAGACACACAATTCTCTTATGCCGTATGAATGCCTAATATATATTCTTATATATCCGAGTTGATAGAGTTGGGAGAATAATTAATTTAAAACGACGTCGCATTAGGCATATGTGAGGAAGATGTTCTTGTTTTGAACTCTAAAACGACGTCGCATTGAGGCCATAACTCACTCTTAATGACGTCACTCACTCTCTCGGATGACGCAAGTTACTCTCCAAAAACTTTACTGGTCTCAGAGAGTGAGGGAGATTCCAACGCAACACAAATTATGAAAAACTTTCGGATGACGCAAGTCACCAGAACGAAGAGGGGGATTCCAATGCAACACATTATGAAAAAAAATAATAATTTACAATTTTTTTTTATTACACCCAAATCCAGTTCTAGACCACATAGGGACATCTGTTTCAGGCGCCGTGCTCAAAGCGTGGACGATCAGAAACGCAGAATTCTATATAGTCGATCAGCCCCTGTTATATCTCGCAATCGGCGTTCCATCACCCTCTCCCACACTTTCATTTTATGACACATTAGTTTGATTCCTCTATAGTTGTTGCAATTCTGGACATCTCCTTTATTCTTATAGATTGGCGTCAAAATACTCTTCCTCCACTCATCTGGCATGTTCCTAGTCAATAAAATTTTGCTAAACAACCTAGTCAACCAAGTAACCCTATTTTTACCCAAATACTTCCAAGCTTCAATAGGGATATCATCGGGTCCTAAAGCCTTATCTGATTTCATCTTCTTAAGTGCAATCTCCACTTTAAAGTTTCTAATCCTGTGATAGAACATATAGTCTTGGTTTATTGTATTATTGGCTAGTTCTTCCCTTATTGACGTACCTCCACGTTCCTCATTTAATAGTTTTTTAAAATAGTTCTTCCATCTCTTCTTAATCTCTTCATCCTTCACCAATACTTTAGATTCCTCACTCTTGATGCACTTAACTTGATTAAAATCTCTTGTTTTCCTCTCCCGTATCTTAGCAAGTTTGTATATCCTCTTCTCTCCCTCTTTACTATCTAGTCTAGTGTATAGGTCATCATAAGTTTTTAACTTAGCATCTCTCACTACTTTCTTGACTTCCTTATTAGCCAATCTATAGCTCTTAAAGTTTTCCTCAGTTTTATCATTCGGCCACTTTTTGAACCTCTTCCTTCCACTATCAAGTTTTCCTAGAGTTGGGTCTCGTTCCTTTCGACTCTCCAAGCATTTCTCTTGAGATTCTCCTCAAACAATTAGTCATCGAGTTCCACATAGTGTTAGCATCATCTTCCAAGTCCAAAGTACCTTCCTTATCCATTCTATTCTTAAATATTTCTTGTTTATCCCCTTTTAGATCCCACCATCGTGTTCTACGACGCCCACCATCCTTTCTAGCTTGGTATTGCCCTTTAAAATATAAATCTAGTACTAAAATCCTATGTTGAGAAGCCAGGCTCTCTCCAGGAATCACCTTACAATCATTGCATCTTAGGCGGTCCACTTTTCTCACTAGGAAGTAATCTATTTGGCTATTAACTGACCTACTCTTAAAGGTTATCAAATTCTCCTCCCTCTTCTTATAGATAGTATTGGCCACCACCAAGTTAGAATCCAACGCAAAATCTAAGATGCTCTCTCCAGCCTCATTTTTATCACCAAAATCGTATCCACTATGCACCATTTCATAGCTTAGTTTATCTATGCCTACATGGCCATTAAAATTTCCATCTATAATTAAGTTCTTTCCTATGGGTATCTCCTGTAAGATCTCATCCATTCGCTTCAAAAAATCCCTCTTAGTCTGATCATCTAATCTTACTTGAGGGGTGTACGCACTAATAATGTTCACTATATTCCCTCAAATAACTAGTTTAACTAACATAATCCTATCCCCTTTTCTAATGACCGCCACTACATTTTTCATAAGACCCTTGGCAACTATGATTCCTACCCCATTTCTACGTCTACCCTTACCACTATAATACAGCTTAAAATCGGTATCCTCAATTTTTCTAACTTTCTCACCCGTCCACTTAGTTTCTTCTACGCATGCTATACTAACTCTCTTCCTAATTATAACATCTACCAATTCCATTGTCTTACCAGTTAAGGTTCCTATATTGTAAGTGGCTACCCTAAATCTATAGTCTTGGACTAGCTTCTTTACCCGCGCTCGTCCAGAAAAACGCGGAACCTTTGCCCATTTTTCACCGCACTTAGGCGTCGACGCGGTGCCCCTTGTTCACTTTTCGAAACATCCGGAGGCAGGCGCAACGCATCACTTGAGGGGAATGACCTAGCATTTAAACGATTCAAAGTAGGATTCATTGTCATAAAGGATCCGAGTGGCTTTTTTACGTATTAGCTCTCGGCTACCTAACACACAATCCTCCATAACATACTTGTTGACTATCTTAAAAAATATAAAGCGATTCGAATGTGTGTGTGTATAATTGTCTATACACAAAAACTTTATATGCCAATTCAAGTGGAATTCTTTAGCGATTTCATGGAGTGCTAGAGTCACCTCCTTAAGATGCTTACATTCTGTAAACAAGAGAGAGAATAGAAAAGGGGATATAGATTATGCAGTGGGTACTTGGTGTTTTTTTAAGGTTAAGCAACAGACATCTACTGCTCTCTTGACATAAGAATCTTATTAGTCTTAGCAATTTCATATCGAATCTATGCATATTTATATGAGTTAACCAAAGGTCTCGATGCCAGAATTTCTGCCATGATAATTCAATCTTTTGTATTTACATAGCTTTAGACGTATAGGTGCCTCAAAATTGTGTCCGGACTCTTCCATTAGCTCCCATTGGGGTTATCTTACAGGAATTCTTTGCAGGACACCACAGGAATATGGTTAACTGGTCAGAAATTTCTTGGAGCATTGGAGGGTGATGGCCAGACAAGAATTGGGTGATCTGTGATCTTCAATTTGAAGCTGTAGGTGAGTGCATTGTTTTAATAATAATAATGTTAAGAGACTGGTTGATCTTTGTCTGTTTTAGAATGTTTCAGTAATAAAAATCTTTCTTGTGTGTTCTATTCTATCCTCTGTTTATTTTTCGCTTCTTTTGACATAAAAACGCACCAGGGGTGTCTGCATCTGCTTGAGCTCTGGTTGTTAAGCCAAGGTGCAGGCAGGGCAGGCTGAGAAAGACCCTTTGAACCTGAACAGGATAATACCTGCGTAGGGAGTGTGCGCTTTCTTTTGTTTTCTGCACAGGGAGGGAGCTTTCGTCCATGGTTTGGGCTTGCTTATCCATGTGGGGTCGGTTCGGCATCATGGTTGGGCTTTATGTCTCATGTGGCTGGAAAGTAACTGAAATTAACAAAATAATCCACACTCTATGCCTTGCCGATTAAAATTTCCAAAACTACTCATAAAAAATGGTTAATTGACTTTTCTAGATGACTAGACCCAAAAAATTTCCCCCACATGTAAATTGTGTGCCACCCAACTAATGCTAAGAACTACATTGCATTCTCTAAACCAATAAGAAATAATCAAAATACAACTCCAACCAAATCCCTAGTCTTACCTTTGTTGTAATAAAATTGTAAATTCACATACTAACTTCGTGGTTTCCATGGAAAATTTGTGTGCTTGTTGGGACAATGGACTAGATAACATTGACAATTAACAAGCCTGCCTCTTTGGTTAGGACTTCCACAAGCCTGCCTCTTTGGTTTCCCTTTCTCTTCTTCACAAAAACAAGTAAAGGACCAGATAATGTGTTGTTGTTAACCTTAAAGTTTTGTTTCCAAACAATACTTTCTGCGGTTTTATGAAACTATGTGCTATAGCTCAAATCCTTAGTCAATCCTATTTCCAACAGGGACAGTGAATCCAATTTTTCCCATTATTTTCATAGAATAATGTTTCAGAGCTCGAATTATTTCCCCCCGAATCCCCCTAATGCCCAAAACGACGTCGTTTTGGGCATTTTTTTTATTTTTTCCTTCGTCTTCTTCATGCAGCTCTGAGAGAGGGAGAGGGAGAGGGAGAGGTAGGTTGCAGCTCGTCGCCGTCGCAGGGAAGAGCTCGTCGCCGGGATGTCGCAGCTCGTCGTCGCAGCCCCGCCCCTGGCAGCCCCTGCCTCTGCCTCCGCCCCCGCCCCCCGCCTCCACCTCCACCCCGACTTATTTGGCCCCCTCCAGTCCTTCGCCGCCGTCTGGCTCTGCTTCTTCTTCTTCCCTTCGTCTGCTTTTTCTTCTCTAAAAAAAAAAAAATTCAAAAATAGGAAATGACGTCGTTTTTTGTTTCGGGGGATTAGGGGGGACGCCCTTTTGAGCTACGTAGCATGGCCCTATTTTCATATCCAAAATCATGTGAAAAGAAGGCATGGTTCCCAAGTTGTTCAAGGGTAGTGGCATTGAGTTTCTTGACCCCCCTGACTTGGAATTAGTCAGTTTTTTTCTGAACTTCATCAATATATTGTCTAATGTTTGTATGTTATTGTGTATCTCTATTTATTTAAATAGCTAAATTATCCTGAATGTTGTTTTTATAAAAGCCAAGTCGTTATGACCAGAAATACATCTAAGGAAAAACCATAAATTTAAAAAAGATGAACAATTATGCCCGGTAAGCAGCAGAATTTATGAAGTCCCCCACAGCATCAAAAAGCCTACATGGTCATAAACTAGATATATATTCTGTGATAATGTCAGTGGACATGACAGTTTCAGTTGGAAGGTATTTCATTCATCTTTAAGAGAATTTTTTCAGCAGTTGTTGAGAGATTGCTTTCAATTCATCATTTACAGCTAGTTTTATGAGCCTGATTTCCAATGCCCTAACTGGGTGATACTCTGATTGACCGTTCTACAATTCTTGCAAAAATGATTTTGTGAAAAAACTATGTTGTGTTGGGATTGGAATGAATACCAATGTCCAACCCTCCACTTTTGAAACAAATCCTTGCCTGCCTATGAAGGTTCAGTTGTTGGCTATTGAGCCTCAACACAAATGCCAGGAATATAGACTGGCTATTGAACCAGTGTAAGCTTGTTAGAGCATCTGCAATCCTTCATAAAATTTTCATCAAATTCAAAGTTAATGAAATAATGACAAAGTGTGCTCCAATCATTTTATCAAATCAGGAGTGATAAATTTTTCACCAAAGTAAAGATGAACCGAATCTTTCACATACATATTTTTTACTCCAATTTGATGAATTTTTAAAAAGATCAAGGATTGGAAATGATTTGCTTTCATAAATAAATGGTTAAAATAGATTTTTAGGATGAGTTTGAATCTTTTTAAACAGATTTGATGAAACGAAAGGGTGGGAAAGTTTAGTGTTTTTTATTTATTTATTTATTTATTTTAGAGTGCTAATCTAACAACCGATTAAAAAAAAAAGAAAAAGGAAGAAGGATTGAAATGCTTCATGTTAGATCAAACTTTTTTGTTTGAACGAATATTAGATCAAACTTGTAATCAATTTTTCACTGAAATTTGATGGGGGAAAAAGTAAGGATTGGAGATACTCTTAGCAACCTGCTTTCTGCAAGTTGCAAAAACAACCATCTCAATCCTACCAACCTTTAGCAACCTGCATTCTGCAAGTTGTAAAAACAACCATCTCAATCCTACCAACCCATATCAAATGAAGGAAGCCACCCTACCAACATTGTGCCATCATCAAAGGTTTTGAAAAAAACAACAATAAAAAGAAAAGAATAGATCATTGTGTTGCCCGAAACCAGCCACTACGACCTATTAAATTGTCTCAAGAAATAATGTGCATAACATGTATACTCCTTGGAGAATCCCAACAATAAAATAGTAACCATAAACCTCAAAGAAATGGGTGAGTTTGCAAATTGTCTATCAAACGTATACCAATACACAGTAGACAGCTATCACACGAAAGTTAGTTTATGAGAAGCACAACTTACTACATGGACCGCTTATAAAACTTGGCAAGAGAATGAGAAGCAAGAATTGCCAAGAGAAAGCATTCCAAATTATAAATAATAAATAATATTAGGTAAATTATTCATAGGTCCTAATAGTTGGACCTAATTCTCACAAGGAAAATGAGTGGAAGCACTAATTAGTGCTACCACTAATGATGTGGCAGTAGGTCCCGCCATGAATGATTTGATGTTTTGGTCTTGGTGTTGTATTTTTTTTCTTTTTTTATTGAATGCCATGTCATTAGTAGTCTTTTTAGAGCTCCAAAATTAGTGGTCTCTATCATTGTTGTTCTCACAAAGTCCTATTAAAAATAAATCTTGATAAAATTGTTGCTAAAAATGATTTTTTATGACAATTTTTTATGTATGTCGTTAAAAATTGACAATTAATGACTTTTTTTTGTCATGATTTTCATAAATTGTAAGTAAAACTTACAATTAGTGAATTTTTTTATGACAAATTTTTCTCATAAAACCTATTAAACAATAAGTTCACTTATTAAGACTTACACAGACTTACACGTAAGTACTCCATTATATATTATATATAATGACGGAAGACGAGGAAAATATAGTAAGCGAGTATCTTGAAACAATTACCTACAATTACAAATGAGGATTGACAAGTGAGCGGTGTTCATGACATAACATGGTAAAAGAATTGTAGAGCAGAACGACTAATGGTAACGGATGTGCAAATTGGTACAAACACGCAAGGAATTAAAGGAAGAGACTCGGCAAATAGGTACAAACACGTACGGAATTAAAGGAAGAGACTCTGCAAATCGCTACAAAGATGGTGCTTGAAAATAACCAAAAACCAGCCTGCAATATGTTACAGTTGCAGTATGAATAATGCAAAATGGCCAGTGGCCTTGGTGAGGGCAGAGAGAGACTCTTCAAAGTAATCTGGACTGGTATGCTGTAGCATTACTTGGTCGTCTCAGAATTCTCATCTCCTTCAGTTCCTGTAATCCCAAATTGATGGGGAAAAAAAAAATTTAAAATCATAAAATGATAAACCCTTTGAGACTGATTGCGTCTCACAGCTCTCTTGTACAAAACAGAAAGAGAAGCAGTTTTCAAGATATTCAGAGAAGTACATTGGTTTGCCATTTCTCATGACTCCACAGGCTCATGCATGAAAACGAATTGAGTTAAAATCACATCTCTGATATAGTTGTGAATGTTGAATCAGATCAGAGGCAAACTTGAGCCATTAAAATCAACAATTGAACAACATATATGTAATTTTGATGGAAAAAAAGAAAAGAAAAGAAGGACATGACCTGCAGACTCTAGAGAGGCGGGAAGAAAAGAGAGGGAGCAAACACGGGATATATATCACAGACACACATGTTCTCCCTCTATATATATACCAACTTGTTTTTGTGATGACAGTAGGATTTCTAATGGGCACGATACTAAATATTTACACAGTACAAGCTATTTATCTTCATTTCTTAATTTGTATCTTTTATCTATAGTAACCTGCATCTAATTACAAGCAAAGTGATAGCAATGAAAACACTTTCCAATTCACAGAATAAGTAAAAACACAAGTAATATTTTACTTTTGCCACTTTGGATTCCCACTTATTTACACCACTCAAGTCCGTTTAGTTCACGTTTGTTTAGCAGGATGAGTGGCTGGGGTGGATTAGGTTGGCAGCGCACCCTACACATAGCATGTTTGGTTGTGAAATAAGGGGAAGGATTGGTACTCTAATCGGATTACTAAACCCATTCAGTAGGTGGATTAGGTTTCCTGGACAGAAGGGGGGAATGAAGAAATAGTGAGGAGATTAAGTGCATTCAGTCGTCCGTCCGGACGTCCGATCGGAACAGTGCAATTTTTTTAATCCAAGTGCAGCCTATTATTTGTAAAAAAAATTATATTTGTTTTCGAATTTTTTTAGTATAGAAATATTTTATTTTTATTTTATATAAAAGTAATTTAACAATCCCATCACTACTCATTTCTCTCACTATCATCAAAACAAATACATTTTTATTTAACCCTCTCACTAATAATTTCCGCATTAACAATCTCTTCACTAACCATCCACTCACTACCAATCCCATCCAATCTAATCCCTTGAACAAACGTTGCCTTACAAAGTTGAAAATTAAGCACAACAGTCTTCTTTTCTTGATAATTCAAGCTATTCTGTTCATTACTCTCTTGCTATGAATTTCAAAATATTAATAAAGTCAATTTCTCTCACTATCATCAAAACAAACACATTTTTATTTAACCCTCTCACTAATAATTTCCACATTAACAATCTCTTCATTAATCATCCACTCACTACCAATCCCATCCAATCTAATCCCTTGAACAAACGTTGCCTTACAAAGTTGAAAATTAAGCACAACAGTCTTCTTTTCTTGATAATTCAAGCTATTCTGTTCATTACTCTCTTGCTATGAATTTCAAAATATTAATAAAGTCAGCAACTTGTAATCTCATATTTATAGCAATCTCCATCTAATTACAGAAAGCAAAGGTCGTAGCAATGAAATAATAATCAAGGCACTAAATCAGCCTCAAACAGACAATGCACATCAAGTAGGAGTGATAAATGAACCAAACAATTTAAACTTGACTCTTTGGCTCATTAAATGCTTGTTTGAGCTCACTACGTTAAGTAAACTAGTCAATTTTCAACACATTTTGAAGCACCTTAAAGTTTTTCGTTAAAATTTTCAAACCAAGTTTGAAGGTTTGGCTCATTTATCACCCTAGCATCAAGAACCAAAAGCAAAAGAAGCATTGCAAACTTTCAGACATTAAAAGCTATAATCACACACGAAAAGGAAAGCACTAACCTTCACTGCCTTCTTTTTCTTGTTCTTGTTCTTGTTCTTCTTCTTCATAGTCTTCATATCCAACTTCAGTCTCTCCATCATAATCATACCCATAAATCTCATTCAAATAATCCACAGCAGCTTGTGTAAACACCAATTTATCCGAATTCAAAACATCAAACAAATTCAATGTCCTGGGCGTCAACATCTTCAGAGTCCCAATATTCCGACTCGAAAGCTTCACATTCTCCGAAACCTCCGTCATCAGAAACAACGACTTCTCTTTCGGATCAATCCCCCACCTCTTCATCAACGCAATGAACTCCTTCGTCTTCGGCTTCTCAAACCTATCCCCAAACTCCTCCACCACCACCGTATTCACCGCCGCGCTCGAAATCGCCGTAGAAATCGCCAATCTCTTCTCCTTGCGGTTGATTTTGATGGTCCAGTCCCTAGGTTTAGGGCCGAACACGACGCCGCCGCCGGGGCGGAGGGGGGTGCGCTGGGAGCCGCGGCGGGCGCGGCCGGTCTTCTTCTGGGGATAGGGTTTGATGCCGCCGCCACGGACTTCGCCGCGGGTGAGGGTGGAGGCGGTGCCGCGGCGCTTGTTCTGGAGGTCGGTGATGATGCCGCGGTGGACGACGGCGCGTGAGGTTTCCGGTGGGGCAGACTTGAGGTTGAGAGTGGTTTCGCCGATTTTGGAACCGTCGAAGGAGAGGATTGGGAGAGTAGCGAGATCAGAGCGAATTGGGGAGGTGTGGTTGGGACAGTGAAAGAGGGGTTTGAGAGAGATGGGTTTGAAGGTTGAGAAGAGAGTTTTAGGGTTTTGATGAGTAGAAGTAGTAGTGAGGAAAATTGACGATGAGAAGAAGGAAATTGGAGGTGAAGTTGCAGAATTCGCCATTGTCGTAGAGACAGACAGCAGAAGAAGAAGAAGAAGAAGAAGAATAGAAGAAGAGGGACAGTTATCCGTTCTCACTGTGCATACACAGCTTAGCCGTAGCCCAAGGTGTGCTTTGCATTATCGCGACTTATCCGCAAATGTTTTTGTTTAGGTGTGGTTGAGTAACAATTACGTTTTTAATTTTCTATTTATATTTGGGAAATGCCTCGTAGCTCGATTTTTCAGGCTCGAGTTTGGCTCGACAGCCCAAAACGACGTCGTTTTGGGCTGTCGAGCCAAACTCGAGCCTGAAAAATCGAGCTACGAGGCATTTCCCAAATATAAATAGAAAATTAAAAACGTAATTGTTACTCAACCACACCTAAACAAAAACATTTGCGGATAAGTCGCGATAATGCAAAGCACACCTTGGGCTACGGCTAAGCTGTGTATGCACAGTGAGAACGGATAACTGTCCCTCTTCTTCTATTCTTCTTCTTCTTCTTCTTCTTCTGCTGTCTGTCTCTACGACAATGGCGAATTCTGCAACTTCACCTCCAATTTCCTTCTTCTCATCGTCAATTTTCCTCACTACTACTTCTACTCATCAAAACCCTAAAACTCTCTTCTCAACCTTCAAACCCATCTCTCTCAAACCCCTCTTTCACTGTCCCAACCACACCTCCCCAATTCGCTCTGAGCTCGCTACTCTCCCAATCCTCTCCTTCGACGGTTCCAAAATCGGCGAAACCACTCTCAACCTCAAGTCTGCCCCACCGGAAACCTCACGCGCCGTCGTCCACCGCGGCATCATCACCGACCTCCAGAACAAGCGCCGCGGCACCGCCTCCACCCTCACCCGCGGCGAAGTCCGTGGCGGCGGCATCAAACCCTATCCCCAGAAGAAGACCGGCCGCGCCCGCCGCGGCTCCCAGCGCACCCCCCTCCGCCCCGGCGGCGGCGTCGTGTTCGGCCCTAAACCTAGGGACTGGACCATCAAAATCAACCGCAAGGAGAAGAGATTGGCGATTTCTACGGCGATTTCGAGCGCGGCGGTGAATACGGTGGTGGTGGAGGAGTTTGGGGATAGGTTTGAGAAGCCGAAGACGAAGGAGTTCATTGCGTTGATGAAGAGGTGGGGGATTGATCCGAAAGAGAAGTCGTTGTTTCTGATGACGGAGGTTTCCGAGAATGTGAAGCTTTCGAGTCGGAATATTGGGACTCTGAAGATGTTGACGCCCAGGACATTGAATTTGTTTGATGTTTTGAATTCGGATAAATTGGTGTTTACACAAGCTGCTGTGGATTATTCACCACTTTCCACCACCGTCTTCCGCCGACACTTGCCACCACTTGCCATTTCTCACTCTTTTTTATATTTTTAAATTTTTTTAAACATTTTGTCAATTATTACCAAACGGGTTTGTAATTTATATTTTTCTAAAAATAAATAAAAATTAAACAAAAACCAGTTTATAAAATTTTTGTAAATATAAACTGAAAACGAAAACGTTACCAAACACACCCTTAGCATTTTTTTGTTTTTGTTTTGTTTTTAACTAGCCTAGGTTGGTTTAGAAATTTAAGCTGGCTGGTTTTTGATTTTTCAAAAACACTTTTTAAAAATTTTTATTTCTTATTTTTTGTATTTTTTTTAATATTTTGAGTATTTTTTTAAATTTTTAAATACACCTAATATAAATATACATAAAAAAAATATTTTTTGTGACAAAAAAATATTTTTTGTGAAAAAAATATTTTAAAAATTCGCTAAATACCAAAAATATAAAAATAATACGAGAATTCAGTATATTTTTATATTTTTATTTATTTATTAATTTTTGAAAATATTTTTTCACAATTTTTTTATTTTTTAGATATATCTAAGTAAGGTCATCTAAAAAAGTAAAAAAAATACTTAAAATTTTAAAAATATTCACTAAAAACAAAAAAAACATGAAAAACAAAAAGTTCAATTTTCAAAAAACGTAATTAAAAAAACTCAAATCAAACCCACACAGTATTTTTTAGTAATTATTTGAAATTTTTACTAGCCTTTGTTTTTGTTCGGTTATTCTAGTTGAGGCGTAGGTGTTTGGGATCACTTAAAAAATACAAAAAGTTAAAAAGTCACTACAAAAGTAGAAAAATTTATACTATTCACAATTATTTGGCAGAAAAACTAAGGTTGATTAGTCATAAGGTAAAAAGACAAAATTACCCTTATTTGTCCCATTCCAACTCACGTGTGAAAAAAAAAGTGCAACACATGCAACAGAGTGAACTGACTATAAGTATCGTCACTTACATGCATTAACTATAAGTACCCTCACAGAAGGATAGTTCGGTAAATTTAGTATTTTATATAATATTTTACTATATATTTTTTCGTAAAAAGTCAAAAGTGCACTTATATAGTTTATCCCAAACAATTCCTTTAAAAATACAAAAAAATAAAATAGGATATATAAGTTAATAAGATAAAATGTCACATTCAAACCATAATCATTTTACTTTTTTTCTTATAAAAATCAAAAAAACCAAAAAAGAAAAAAATTGCCAAATGAATTTTTTTTAGTCCTAAACTAAAAAAAAAGTCTCAATTTCAAAAAGCCAACTAAATTTTTTTCCAACCAAACAAAACAACAACAAAGAATGAATTGATTTTTTTAGTGATTTTTTGATTTTTGACTAAAACTTGAGCTTCCCAAACAAAGTCTTAAGAAATCATAAAAATAGATTGATCAATTTTTCTTTATTTTTATTTTTTTAAATAAGAAGAAAAATTATCTATTTTCTTAGTTTTCAATAATATTTTGATATCATCCTATCAAGATGTAATAATACCATGTGATTCATTGAATCAATAGGCTGATGACATATACGAGTAAGGTTAAAGACTCTAAAAAATTCTATTAAAATTTTTATTAAATGTTTTATATGGATGTGATATTTATAGCACGTGAGTCTCACACCTAGGTAAGATATTTAGTAAAAATTTTGATAGAACTTTTAAAATCTCTAATATTTTTATGACATACACTCAAATTTTGTACTTAAATTTTATTGAACATAATAATATTACTATTTCCTTGAATTTGACTATACATTATAGGCCTACAGGCCTCGTTTGACATGTAATAGTTTTAGCTTAAAAGTCAAAAAATTAGTAAAAAAATTAAAAAGTCAATAACTTATATAAAAAAGTCAAAAATTCTCTTTTCTCTTTATTTTTTTGCACATTTTTCATAAAAAACTAAAAAATCATTCAAAACATACTAATTCTTTTTAACTCATATTTTAGCCAAAAAAATTAAAAAATTATTAAAATAATCTGTTCCCAAACGAGGCAACAATGCGAATTAGTTTGCTTTTGAAAATATTAAGCAATTTAGGGATTGTTTGGGGTGTCCTAAATAAGTGTACTTTTTGTCTTTTTGAACTAAAAAATTGAGAAAAAAATATGAATATTTGGGTTAACTTTTTGACTTTTTATGAAAAAATATGTATTAAAAAATTGTATAAATTAGTGTGCAGGAAAAAATTAAGATTAGGAGTTGTGCAGTCATAATTTTTAACTTTTGATGATTAGTGATAACTTTTTAACTTTTTATAAACTTGCCAAACTTGACCTTAATTTGAATGGGTCGTGATAAAAACATTTGTCGTTTGCTCACCTTTATGTTTATTTGTTTATTTATTAAAAATATTTATACTTATATTTACATTAACATTTATTTGTCGATCTTTCATATTATCTCTAATTAATTTAATTTAATTAATATCTCTGACTATTTTTTTTAATAGTAATGGAAATCACCCTTGTAAATCACAATTACTCTCTTTTAAAAGTTTGATTAAAGCATATTCAAAGGGATAGTTAAATAAAGTTTGTTAGGTATTTTAGTCAATGTAAGTCTAATTTTGAGCTCCAATAGGCTAGCTACTTTACCATCCTATTTTTTTTGTGACTACAATTGAAAAGCCCTAGAGGCTCTCCAAACAATTATGTATGTATATATTTTAGATTTTTGTATATTTATGTCTTGGATTTGAGATTTTATATTATATATATATGTGTGTGTATGTAGCAATTTTATATGTTCTTTCAATTCTGTTTGATGAATTACAGAATAACTTATCTCGTATTTTGTATTTTTTTTCTCCTCATTCTACAGGTGTTGTATGTTTGTATGGACAAATTTATTATTATTGCAAATTTATATTAGTAAAATATCAACAATTAATATTTTTTTATTTTAAAAATTAATTAAGTTAGTTTAAATGATTAGCTAAAATAAAGAGCGTGGTTGGAGAACACAATAACTAAAGTAATTAGGTAAAATAAAGAGTATATTTAACGAAAAGTAAAGAATGTAGTTGGAGTTGTTCTAACCATTGAAAAAAAATTTGCAAGTAATTTTTCCTTCTCTTTTGGTGTAGTAAGAGATTATTTACAAATAATTTGCCATTGTTATTGTACTTGAGAGGGTAATTTTTGGGAAAAATTGGGCCGAGCTGCGAGTTGGGCTTTGAGGCCCAAAGTGCGAAGGACTAAGTAAAAAGGCCGTAATGGTTACTCCGGCCCAGGAGAGCAAGGTTACTCCGGCCTAGGAGAAACAAAGTTACTCCGGCCCAGGGAGATAAAATTACTTCGGCTCAGGAATTATAAAGTTACTTCGGTTAAAGGATTGTAAATGTACTTCGGGTCCGGGAGCAACTTGGAGTTAGACCGGCCTTGAAGTTATGTCGGCCTTAGAGGTGTACCGGTCAGGGAGTTATACCGATCGAGAGTCGTTGGTTCGGTCCAAACACACCATGGGTTGAACAGATGAGAAACCGATATAAGGAAGAGTAAAGGGAAGGGCTGAACTAAGGATAGTTCGGCCTACTTTACCTCGGTCAAATGGTAGTTCGGCCATGGAGAAAACCATCCCACTTGGTTTAAGCAGTGGGGGGGGGTGTAAAAGGATAAGCATTATCCTTAGGAGAATGAATCCTAGGAGGACTCTACATGGAAAAGAAAGTAGAAGTCCTACTAGGATTGTGCCACTCGAAACTTATAAAAAGCTCACAAGCATCACCTTGGAGGAGGTAACAGAACACAACATAACTTTACTTTCTGAGAACATTGAGCTTTGTCTATTTGTCAATTTTCTGACTTAGGCATCGAAGAGGTTTCCCGACACACACCCGCCGGCTAGCTCACGTTTGTGTTTTCAGGTAATAAAGCAACGTCGTACGGAGAACGTGGATGGTCAACAGGATTATACGAGAGAATATATTTCTTTCCCGTACAATTGGCCGTTTGTGGGAAGAAACAGACAAGAACAAAAACCTCTTGACAAAGCTTCTCCTTTTCTCAATCATGGCACACATTGAAGAACTACCGCAGTCCGCCGTCGACGGGCTAACTCCAGACGGGGGCAAGGCGAGAAGGATTACCCTCTGTCCCTCCTATGGCAAATCTGGAGCCCCAACAACATAGCTCAGGAGGAGTGGCAGGGGAAGACGGAATAACAGCCCTCGTCACTCTCTCAAAGTCCTGACAGGCAAAGGAGGAGGATTGATCCTCAAGCCCTGGAAGATCGCGTAAAGGAGCAAGATGAACTAATTCGGAAGATGGCGGCGGACATGGAGGCTTTGAAAGCCAGATGAAGACTAAAGATGTGGCGACAGGAGAGGGCGCGAGCACAAGACGCCCCTCGCCACTCAGAGAATCGTAGTAGGCATACTACACCTCCCAAGGAGAGAGCAGAAGCCTTAGGACAGGCGACACTCGTTCTTTATCTTCCAGAACTCGTCACTCCAGGTCTAAAGGACGAGATCCGAAAGATCATACACTGGAGGAAGCATGTATTGGCCTTCGCACTCACACCAAACCCGATCTAGACAGACAGAGCTGCCCAGGTCATCCGACTTACGAACCGTGCTCGAAGAAAAGCACGATGCAAGGAAGATGCCAGGGCGTGCGATCCACATAGAGTCTCTGCCTTACACGGTTGGCTCCTCGGACGCATGGAAGCGTCGAGGTTGGAATGCCAATACCACGCCCAGCGTATGAACACAACGGACAAAGCCTTAGAACGACTACAGACTTCGCCGTTTGTTCCAGCAATCGAGAACGCACCCCTACAATCGGGCTTCCTTCAGCCGAAATTCACTACATATGAAGGAAGACGGACCCGTATTCACATTTGAGCCACTTTCGCCAAGTCATGGCTGTGTACAGGCGAAACGAGGCCTTAATGTGCATAACTCTTCCCGTCAAGCCTTGGGACCTAGGCTTGACTTGGTTCGAAAAACTCCAGAGGGCAGCATAGCCTGCTGGGCCAATTGGCAGAAGCGTTCGTAACAAGGTTTCGAACAAATACTAAAACACCGGTGGAAATAGACCAGTTGCTCTCCATCGACATGGGTGAAAAAGAGACCCCAGATCTTACAACAGTCGTTACTGGGAGATATTCAACCGGATTGGAGACTGCCCAACCAATCTAGCCATTACGCAGTATAAAAGAGGCCTTCCAGTCGGAAAACAGACTAAGGGATCGATCACCATGACGCCACCTTTTACCATGGAAGCCCTGATGGAGAGAGTGCATCAGCACATCAGGGTAGAAGAGGATGGCGCACGTGCCAAAGCAAAATTTAGTGCAACCGCAGTACCAGAAAAGAAGACCACAGCAAAGTCATATACAGTAGATCGCAGAATAAAAACGGGCGTGGCAGACGAGATAACGGAGAAGACCCAGACAAAAGATGTTTGAGAATCCCGCATTGCAATAACAACGGTGTTCAAAAAACTAATATATCGGATTTCTGAGCGAAATAAAAGATGAGCCTTTTGTCAAGTGGCCAGCAAGCTAGGAGAGGCTCAGAAAGATTACGACGACAGATCACGGTGCACCTTCCACAAAGAAAAGGGGCACCGAACTGAGAATTGCACCGCCTGAGACAGCACTTGGAAGAATTGGTGGCAGCAGGCACTTGGACAAATACATTGAAGGAGGGACGCAACCGGCCCCCCAAGATCATAATAACCATCCTAACAGAATGCCAATCGACGCCCCCACAAGGCATCATCAATGTAATACATGGAGTCTTTGAACCTGAGCGTGTACGAGCTTAGGGGATCAATCAAGAAGGCTGAGCACTATAGGGAAGTGTTAAGTGCTCAACCTGCCGTCAAGAAGGGGAAGACAGAGGCAACAATGTCATGTCCTTTTCGGATAAGGACTTGGATCGAATATACTGTCCTCACAACGATGCTCTGGTCGTCACTCTCCGTCAAGGATTTTGACGTCAAGCGGATTCTGATTGACCAGGGTAGTTCATGTGAGATCATGTACTACGACACGTTCAAGCAACTGAAGCTACATAGACAAAGATTGGCGCTGCAGTTTCTCCCCTAATCGGATTTAACTCCATGCCAGAGTGGCCCGTCGGCAAGATAATCCTTCCAGTCAGAGCAGGAAACGTAACAAAACAAGTGGAGTTCTGGGTATTGAAGGACCCCTCCACTTACAACATCATCCTGGGCAGAACATGGCTGCATGCCAATGCGATCGGTGGCGTCATCTTACCACCAAGTAATGAGGTTTCCCAACGACACCGGAATAATTGAAGAAGTCTATGGAGATCAGATCATGTCAAAACAATGCTTTGCCACGGTGAATGGCAGCCGCGCTGCCAAAGGATACGTTCATTCGGTAGAAGAACCAGAAAGTAATGAACTATTCGAGACGTCGGTAAATGAGGCTGATCAGAAAGCGGTGGAGGACTTGGTGGAAGTAAAAATAGATGAGAAGAACCCGGATAAGTTCTTCTTGCTTGGCTCATCGTTGTCCAGCACTGAGGATTAGAGATCTTGGAATTCTTGACCTCTAACATC